ACCCGCCCGGGACCGCGCGGCCGCCACCGGGTTACACAACCCCGGCCTGCTGCGACGGGGGGAGGGGCGACCGCGAGCCGGCGGCACCCCCGCAGCGCAAAGGGGAGAGGCGACGGCCGGTGGGGATCCCCGGTCACCCGGCTCCGCCGTGCCTTGTGCCCCTCCACACCCTTCCCCCTCCGCTCCTCAGTGGGCCAGAGTCGGTGACAGGAATCGGCTTCCAACATGGCGGACAGGAAGCGGCCCCGCGAGGAGGAGAGAACATTCCAGCCGCGCCGGCTCTGGGGGGAGCGGGCCCGGGGCGCCGGCCTGGGGAGGAGCCGCGGGGAGAAGCCGCGGGCTCCGGAGCCCCAAAGGGGTGTTTCGGGGTGGAAATGACCCAAGAGACGAGGGGTCCCACCCGCCCCCTAGCCGGGGAACCCCAAGGCCACAGGTGGGCTTGGGGTGGCGAATGAGGGAGAACACTTTCTTAACTCTGCCCACCTACCCTCTCCCTCGCCACTTGCAAAAGGGTCTCGCGTCACCCACCCGCGTAGGGATTCACTAGGCCTTCCTGAGTTACACCCCGAGGGATTTTTCTGGGAAGGGGCTAAATTCGCCTTATCTGAGGGCCGCAAATTAAGGCCCCCTCAGGGCAGCAGAGAGGAAAACGGGAAAGGAATAGGGCTAGACTTTCAGGCCGACCCTCCCGCTCTCCCTCCAGCCGGGGCGGGGGCCGAGAAGGTCACACTGGCCTGGCTGGGCCTCTCCCTGAGAGGAAAGAGAGGGCGCTACAAACCCCACTGCCTAGCCCGAGCCTGGGGAAGGTTTGGGAGAATGAAAGGGGGCATCCCCAGACCCAGAGGACCGACACACACACATACTCGACCCCGTCCGCGCTTTTCTGCTCCAGCCCCACCCCCATCTCTCCTGCCCCCCACCCCCAGTCCCCTTCCCCCTCCCGTCCTCCCTCCCAGACCTGTTTTCTTCTTCGGCGTTTCCTGGTGCTGCTGGAGGGCGTGTTTCTGCTCATGTTTCAGCGGCTTTGGCTGGGCCTTGGGGCTGCCTTCGACTCCATGCTGCAGGTACTGGTGAGGCTGCTGGTGATGATGGTGGTGGTGGTGGTTGTGGCTATGGTTGTAGAAATAATAATGGTGGTGGTGGTGCGGCTGTTGCTGCTGCTGCTGCTGCTGGGGATGATGGTGCGGATGGTGGTGGCTGTGATGGTGCTGAGGCTGTGGCTGGCCGGGCTTCTCCTCCATTGAAAGCGGCTGGGACTCCCTGGCTGAGACTGCAGGCTGCTGCACCGTCAGGATCTGAGACTGCTTCTCAGGGCTCACTCAGTATATCTGAGCGCGTCTCGCCAGCGCACTGGTTAACCGAGCGATTCTGCGAGATTGGCAGCGGCACTCCAGCAATGAGGAGCCACGCTGCGCCGCAGGCCCCGCCCCCTAGCCCAAATCCTTTTTCCTTCCCCTTCGCCACTGCCTCCCGGCCAACGCCACTTACCCTATGCAACCTCGCAGGGCTGGGCCTCCAACGTCAGCACTATGGCTCTCTCTTCTGTCGCTTTCTCTCCTTCACCGCGCAGTCTGCGAACAGCACTTTCTACACTCCTAGCCGGCAAGCAAGTTCATGTCGAGTGTAGCAGATTCCACTGGCGCTATGAGCCATCTGTTGGTTTTTGCACACGCTAGAATCTATTGGCTGTTTTCTTTTAATCCTTTTCCGGGTAACCAGAGGGGAAGCTCAATTCCCTTAACCCTGAGACCACTAAAGGGGCAATACAAAAAGAGGAAATAAATAAATTTTTAAGAATGCAAGAGCTTCACAATCCAGTAGATCATTTTGTATTCTGGATTCATTTTGCTTTGTATTCATATGCTAATCTCTTCCTTTCCACGAAGGGATTATAGGGTTCCACAATGGGGTATCTGTGTAATTTTCTAAAAGACCACAAAGGGTTTAAATCATTGTTTCTTTGTAGTTGAAGGCAAAGGAGAGCGGGAGGAATGAAAATCTACACTGAAGTTGTTTTTTTTTTTAAATTAAACTCTGCAGGTGAGGTCAACTGCGGAATAAAAATAGGTGTTAAAATGTGAAGTTTGAAAAGCGAAAGGAGGAACAAGCACTTGAAAAGTTGTTAAGTTGTTCACTGTCTTTGCATGTATGGAAAATATTGGGATTTAAGGAAATACTCTTGCCTTTTGTCGTGTTAATTTAACTTATCCAGTGTTACCACATCACAGTCCGGTTTTTAAAAACAATTATTAGAGTCAAGTTAGTCAGAAAGGAAGAAGAGGGTTGTGATGGAGAGTAGCACAGGGTTACCCTCTGGTAATATTTTATTTTTTGACCTAGGTGGTGATTACACGTGTATTTGCTTTACACTTATTCGTTAAACTGCAGATGTATAATACACTTTCCTCAATGTATGTTATATTTTACAGTTTTTAAAACATAGCTCTAATTCCTTCCCGTATTTATAACAGCAGGAGTAAGTTAAAGGAACAAAGCAGTTTAAAAGCAAAAACTTTGCTCTGAAATTAATTTAATCACAAAAGCATAAGTAAAAGGTAAAAAGCATGTTTCCAACAGCAAACGCTGCTAAATCCAGAAAACCATGATCAGACCATGATTTGTTCTATATAATGAAGATTTGCATTGCTCGCTAAATTTTAAAGACCGTTTTGGGGGGCTAAACCCCAGTAATAACATCATATCATGACATATAAGTCTTTACCACTGAATAATATTCCACCACTCTCCTATCCATTCAAGAAGAACTAAAAGTGTACAGTATATAGAATTTAGGATTATGTTGATAATACTTCACATTCTTTTTCTGACTTGGTCATTTAGTTGGAAAGCAAGAATTCTGAGTTCCAGCTTCTTTTTCTGTATTTTCTACATTATAGTTGCAGGCAAGTCAACAGTACTCACTCCAAATTTCTGACTTCTCACACACCTTCACCTGCTTTAGTGTCTTCACGTACAGAGTTGAGAAAACTAAATCTCGTCCTCAGATTACTGTTGCTGCTATGAATGTTGCTTTAGTAGTATTTAGTGGTATGGAGAAAGGCTTGTGATATAGTGTAAGAAAAAATGCAGAATATTAAATTCTGTATGCAATAGGATCATAACCTTATAAAACATGAATATTTTTGAAAAGACTGTAAATACAACATAAAATGTATACCTCTTTCTTCCATCTAATTTTTCTCAAGTAGTTTCATGTAAAATATATTTAAGATTTGCCATGCATTTGAAATATTCCATTATAATAATGCCATAATACTAAACCTCCATGAAAAGAAAATAATTGGTTCTATTTATTTCAAGACTATTTTTTATTAAACAGAGTCTGCATTAAGGAAAAAAACACAAGAAGGAAATTCAACATAAATCTGATGGAATTATGGGTGGTTTGTTGGTTTTTTTCCCCCAAATGTTCTATATTGTAGTTATTATTTTTTAAAGCATTTCTTAATGAAATTAATAAATAAATTAATCTGCACAATCGTTTGAAGTTCATTTTAAACTGTATTTTACTATAGCCAATGTGGGAAATTATAATGGAGAGACAGGAGATTCCCATATATGGTAGGTTAATGTTTTAACTATGGATACAATCATTATACCCATTGCCATGGAGTCGATTCTGACTCATAGTGACCCTAAAGGAGAGAGTAGAACTGCCCTATAGGGTTTCTGAGGAGCGCCCGGCAGATTCGAACTGCCGACCTTTTGGTTAGCGGCTGAACTCTTAACCGCTACACCACCAGGGTTTCCAGGGTCATAATAGCAGGTAGTTATTGAGCATTTTCTATGTGTTAGGAATTGCACCAAGAATTTTCGTTTTCATTTGTAATTCTTTGAGATAGTTATTAATCCCAATTTACAGATTAGGAATTTGAAGCCTATAATTTAAAAGCCACCGAGTTTATAATGGGGCCTGAAATAGAACCCAGGCCTAGCAAACACCAAGCCTGAAGTACTCAATTCTATTCAACTTGAAATATGTCTAAAGCTATCAGAAAACGACAAGCTAATTTATAATCCTCTCTATTTTGTTGCTTCTCAAAAATAATCAATATTCATTCTTTCCACTTAGAATATTCTATTCCAAAACTGCCCACAAATGAAGAATGTTCAACTGATAATGTTGTTATGCCTGATAGCTTCTCTTTCAGAGGAGAAAAAGGTACCAACCTTTAAAGGGCAACTGAAACTAGCAGTGAATCTCCCAGTTGGCCTGCCTCACTTCAAGGAAACTCTAAATCTCCCAATTGGCCTGCCTCACTTCAAGGAAACTCTAAGCATCCTTCTTCCACAGGCTTGATAGTTTAGTTCTGCCTCAGCTGTCAACTCTTTGACTCTTGAGGGGCTTTTCACTGTAATTTGATCTGTGAGTTTTATTCAAGATTATCTCAAACACTAGAACAGTGTACAACCAGACACTCCAGAGCACTAGACTTATTCCAGCCCTGTTGTGACATGCTTTCATTTAAAAGATTTTTAAAAATTGTCTTTCAGAAAAGCCCTTTAAACTTTGGGAAGAAAAAAAAAAAAAAGTGGTTTATCACAGATAAATATAGCTTTTAGATGCTTATTTAACACTTAGTCACCAGGATCTTGCAAGTAACTTAATGCCGAAAAATGAGGAAATTTGTTTTAAGGCCAAGGACCAAGTGTCAGGATTAGTTTGTTTTCATTTTCTTGCTGTTGCTGTCAACAAAACAAAACAAAAAAATTACTATTGATTTGGCTCCACCTCATGGCGACCCCATGTGTGTCAAAGTAGAACTGTGCTTCATAGGGTTTGCAATGGGTGATTTTTCAGAAGTAGATCACCAGGCCTTTCTTCTGAGGTACCTCTGGGTAGACTCAAACCACCAACCTTTTGGTAGCAGCCAAGCACATTAACTTTCAAAAAAAATCATACCGTACACACCAACCTTTAAAAAACTGAACAATTCTTAATCTCAGTACTGGAAAAGAAATTATTAGTTCTTTGTTAGAAGAAAGTATTGCTAACACTATCAAAATGTCATATACATTTTTAAAAGTTTAGTAATTAACTTTGAAAACTATATAAATGAGAATGACCAAAAAAAAATTCAAACAGCAAAAAGCATAATGCCTGGTACATACAAAGTGCTCAAGAAATATTTGTAAATGAACAAATGAATAAAAAATATTTATTGCTTTCATTTTTCAAGTTCCCTCACAATCCTTGAATTCATATTTTATATGCAGTCATAATGTATGTATATAATTTGGTACTTTAACTAAAAAGTTTAATAAACCTCTAAAAAATGCACGAGCTACATCATAACCACCAAGAAGATGGTGTCTGGTTATTAATAGAGGCAAGTGTACTACTGTCAAGCTAATGAAGCTTCAGGGCCCCCGGCTGCAAGGCCCCCGCAAGGCCCTCCAAAGGGTCTTTTGAAAGAGTTAGATATGTTTTCATTATTTTGTAAACTTTATAAAAGTAACATTTTTATATTCTTTTTCTTATTGAAAGCCCCCAAAACCTGGATCCACCCCTGTTGATAATCATTCGGGTGTATGAATCAAAAATGTTGTAACTTCAATACCAAAACCAAAACCTGTTGCCATCGAGTTGATTTGGACTCGTAGTGACCCTATAGGATAGAGTAGAACTGCCCTATAGGGTTTTAAGGCTGTAGTCTTTATGGAAGCAGACTGCCACATCTTTCTACCATGGACCGGCTAGTAGGTTCAAACCACCCACCTTTCTGTTAGCAGCTGAGTGCTTAACCACTGCATCACCAGGGCTCCTTTGTAACTTCAATAGGTACTTTAAAAGCTTACAGTCATATTTTATAACAAGGAAAAATGTTGATGCTATAACTCAAGCTTAAAAAGCAAAGTACCAAATTATATATATACATTATGACTGCATATAAAATATGAATTCAAGGATTGTGAGGGAACTTGAAAAATGAAAGCAATAAATACTTTTTATTCATTTGTTCATTCACAAATATTTCTTAAGCACTTTGTATGTACCAGAAATTATGCTTTTTGCTGTTTGAATTTTTTTTGGTCATTCTTATTTATATAGTTTTGAAAGTTAATTAAAATATATTTGCAAGACTGCCTTAATTATCAAGTGAAAATCATTTTTCACACACCTTTAATCTTACACTTTGTGTACTATCACAAATTAAGAGATACAGAAGTATTTAACTCTCTGGGCCTTAGTTTTCTCATCTCTGAAATAAGGAGGATGGCCTACGTAGTCTCTAAATTGCTTCCCACTCTAACATTCTATAATTTTCTGCTCTTTTTTCCCCGTTGTCATTAGTTGCTATCAAGTAGATTCTGACTCA